CACACATACACCCCTCTCTCTCTCTCTCTCTCTCTCTCTCTCTCTCTCTCTCTCTCTCCAAAGACAACATCATATTATGTTGGAGGTACCAAATCTCAAACATCTTTGTCAACATTCATTTTTTTTTATAAAAAAGGGCAAGAATCTTAGGGGAGGAGGAGGGGGAGGTGGGTGACCACTGACTAAAGGCACATCCTTTATTCCCTTTTGACTCTTTCTCTTTCTTTCCTTCTCCTTCTCCTTCTTGGGATACCCACATTTTCCGCTCTTCTTTTTCCTTTGTCCTTTTTTTATGATAAAAAAAAAGGTAAAGTGAGTTTGCCTCTCTGGTTGCAATCATTGTTCTTGTTTGGACGTTTTGTATCTTAATACATGAGAAATGAAAGAGAAATCACCCTCTGCGCGGCCTCAGACTCACAGCAGTGGGGGTGGTTGCATCAGAAAACGATCACACACTCAACCACAGAAAAAAAAGAGGAGGAATCTAAAGAGACAAGCGCAGCTTTATAAGAGCAACACTTTGTCACTTTGGTAATGATAAACATCGTTTTGCCGCATCGGAGACAACCGAAAGCATCATCCTCTCAGTGAAAACGATGTCACCTTCCTCGTGTTTCTTTAATTCCCTTGAACCGTACACATATTGTCATCACAAACATTACTACAAAACTCTTCATTCGTAAGCCTTTTTAATTGTTCACTGAAACATCAACATTGAAAAAATGTTTATAGCCCTCTCCGTTTAGAATCCAACTCCACATTACTCATGTTTGGTTCCCACGTTAACGTTTTAGTTCACATTCAAAAGTATTATTATTATTATGATTATCATCATCATTATTATTATTATTATTATAATATGCAAAAGATATAGGGGACATTGTGGTCGACCTCAACCCTTAAAGAAATGGGCTTTTTTTTAAAAAAGTTATTGGACTAATTGGGCTTTGCCTTAGGGCTCTTTACCTAGCTCTTCCGAACCCAAAGCTCGCTGATCCACCGCCGCCACACACTCTCTCTCTCCCTCTCTCTCTCTCTCTCTCTCTCTCTGCGACTGCAATCTTCCCCTATCCTGCTCTTTCATGGTCACGGATAACTCGCCGGCGGAATTGGCTATGGATGTTGAGGCCCTCCTTCTTATCAACCAAGGCGCCGAAGCCGTGAGTTTTTCTCTTCCTTCTCTCGATTGTTCATCGTTTCACTCTGTTGTTTAAGAAAGGAGGTTGTTTACGTCTCAGTTTTTTCCAGAGAGTTTTCGAGTCCTCCTTTGTGGGGAGAAGATCCATCATCAAAGAACGCTTCTCCAAGAAATACAGACACCCATCTCTCGATTCCAAACTCACTCTCAAACGCTTGAATGCGGTTCGGTTATCTACTTGTCCTCTCTAGATATCAGCTTCATGTCTTGTCCGTGATTCAATTACGTCACGTTGTGGAACAGGAGGCAAGGTGCATGACAAAGGCAAGGAAGCTTGGGGTTCGTACTCCACTCCTCTATTCCGTGGACCCTCTGCTTCACACCTTGACGCTCGAGTACGTCGACGGCGTCTCTGTCAAAGACATTTTCCTTCAGTTTGGGGCAAATGGGATCTTCCAAGAACGATTGGATGATATATCCTCCCAGATTGGGGATGCAATTGCCAAGCTTCATGATGGTGGTCTTGTTCACGGTGACTTGACCACATCTAACATGTTGATGGAGAAAGGCACAAACCAATTGGTAAGTCTGTTTTCTTTAGTTAACCGTTCCGTGGGGAGATCTGATGAATTGGTAATCTCAGGTGCTAATTGACTTTGGCCTGAGTTTCACATCGACCTTGCCGGAAGACAAGGCTGTTGATTTGTATGTGCTGGAAAGAGCTTTGCTTTCAATGCACTCTTCTTGTGGGAATGTGGTAAGGCCTTATGCCTCAAATCCTCTTGGTTGGTGGAATTGAAAGTGGATGTGATAGCTGCCTTATATCATTACCAAAGAGAGCTAGGGACTGATGTCTGTTTAGTTTTTTATTTGGGAATCATAATGAACCGAGTTTGTGAGAAGAGAATGTTTTCTAACATGCATGATGGGTTAATATTGGCGTGGATAGATGGACCGGATACTTGCAGCGTATAGGAAGTCCTCAAAGCAATGGTCGTCGACATGGAACAAGCTGGCCCAAGGTTGTATGCCATCCCTCTTCCTGAAAGCCCTGACAACTTTCTTTTTTATTCTAAAGCTTACTCTGCACTGAAATCTGATAAACTTTTTTTCCCAATGCAGTAAGGCAGCGAGGGCGAAAGCGGACTATGATCGGATGAATTGGTAAACCGGTTACAGTATGCCAAAAAGCATAGGAATGGATTGTGGAGCATTTGATTAAAATGCATTAGGTTTATTTTAGCTAATATGTATCCTTTATCAGTTCTGAACTACTTTGGAAACCCCGGTTGTGCATTATATTTAATCGAAATATACTTGTGGGGAAATTGGAGGACCCCGAATGGTTGGGCATTTGTTGTTGTTGTTTTTGGTCGTGCAGTGAGTCAGATGAAGGTCGGTTGTGTGGGGGATGGCTCCTCTTTGATGTATAAGGTACACTCCTCACCTCTGTATTTTGGAAATGAACATTGTTTCCCCGAAGTTTGGTTCTTCTTTCTTTAACGGAGGCTGTGATGCTGTGACAGTCAGCCCTTGGTATTGGATACCACAGCCGTCCAACAATTCAATAACATTCTGGAAGCAAAGAAAGAATATGTCTTTACAGAAAACCAAACTGTTCAAGTGTGTCTCTGTGTGTGTATATATATTGCTGACAACAGAGAGTGCAAGCCCATCTCAAGAACAAAAAATGGTCAAGCACCGATTTAGAAAAGAGAAAACATTGACTAGGATCTTCACTTGTGAAACTGGGAGGGTCTGAGCCTTGTGAGGCTTTCAGTGGTTATGGTGCAGTCTTCTGACTCCATGACCCCGCCGCTGCATGTTTTCCCCTTCTTCTTACGCGCTTCTTCTCTCAATCTCACAGACCTATCGCTTATTCTCTGTCGTTCCCTGCATTGCTTTGAACAGAACGCCAAGTCGCTGCAAAGCCACAATCAGTCACTCTTATCTTTCCGTTCAAAAGTCATTGCCCGCACTGGGCTCTGTACATGTGTACTGCCCCTCGCAGAACAAATCTAAAAGCTAACAGATTCTGGACAGGCGTTAGTTTAATAGAAAAATTCAAGGAAATCCATTAGGGCAAAAAACAAATTACAAGTTGCTGTTACATGGGAGTGGTAATCTGATCGTTTGCATGGATATGAAGCTAACTAGTCTGAAAAAGAAACACACGCACTTCTGAATCAGAACGTCTCCTGTACTCTTTTCCCCTTGTTGTATCGACAAAATCGAGTTGAGGGAAGATGGAGTAAGATACCAAACAGGGGAAAGGAAACAAACATACCCGTACATGAAGATGTCTTCCTCCGGACTCAGCTTCTTAGTGCAGAACCAACACTGCTCCAGCGACAGAACGGTGGACTGCAACTGTCCTCTCCCTATCTCCGGCGACGGGACGGCGACGGCGCCTTCCAATATCTCCGGAGACTCTGTCTGCTCGCTGGCTGAGCTCGGAGTACGCGATCTCTTGTTGAGGACCATCGCCAGATTCGGAATTCTGAATATTTGTGGTTCGAAAACTAGGGTTTTTCGGGAATCCGAAGCTGGGAGTTGAAGAGCGAGGGACGCGTGAGCGACTGCGAGTATTTATATGTTACGGTGGTCCCCACGTCACATATTCCTCTTGTAGGATTCCGGTGGGGACACGTTAAACCCATCGGATTCGATAGGATCTCGCCACGTACACAGTTGTACGAAAGATCTAGGGCCACGCTTGTCTACCAAGGATTTCCGGCAATGGGAAGATTTCTTTGCCCACTCAATTCAGATTGTTTTGGGAATAAAAATAGGAAGGGAATATTATACATGTACATTTTAACTCATTAATACTATGGAAACAATCCAAGAGACGGGGTGTGCCACTCGTACATATTAGCATTAGAGTTTCATGAGTGTGAGTAGGATTATATTCTATATGAGCATTTTAACATGTGATTGAATTCACTTCGGCCGACCAAGGCTGGCCTTGCAGCGGAAATTACCTCCAGATGATATCTAATCAAATTTATGTATTCCTATCCTTTTGGGGTATATTGGTTGTCTATATGATACCGAGGTTTAGACACCAATCCTTATTTTGGCTATGATGCCTTTTCAACTATCCTTTTGTAAAGTTGAAAAGCAGTAGAAATATGTAGAAGAAAGTTTACGGAATAGAAAACCTTTTAGCAAAAAAACATGTGATTGAATTGCATCTCCTTGTAACACGCGTCATATTTACTATATAACAAGTTCTACTTCTAGTCGGTTCGGCTCCTAACAATAATGTTACACCAGAAATCACACTTCCACGTTCCCAAGTTATGTCCATGTGACCTTTTTATTCTAGTATATGTCGCAAAAAAAAAAAAAAAAAAACTTGTTTGGTTTTATAACGATGATGGGAAAAGAAAGCCAAGAGAGTCGATTTTTTCGAATATCAAACCGGAGTCGATGGTTATACACGTAAGGAAGAGATCAGTAAAATTTGAAAATAGAAAATATGGCAATAATTAACAAAAGAGAGGCAAGTGGAGGAGAAGTGAAATTAGCCGTGCTGGGCATTGACGGCTGAACCACCGGCCGGATACCCGGGTTAGCCGTCGGACCAAGTGCCCCGTCTGCCGGAACCTCCGGTGTCAATGCTAGGGTCGGCGCTGGAGCTGGTGTTGTCGCCGTTGCCTTGGATCCTGCAACGATATTCAGGGATTTGCGTATGATAAGATATTAATTAAACAATATATGTTATTTTATAAAGCCATGAGAAGGACAGGCTCAAAGACGAGGCAGTAATCATCATTACCTCCTGGACCGAGAGAAGACGGAGCGGGAGGTGGTGGAGAGAGCAACAACGGAACTGGACCTGTCACACAATGAAGATAATCAAATACCCATCGGATAATAACAAAGAAATGAATTTTAGATATAGAAAAGGGGAATGCATGATACCTGGGGCAGGCAGAGGAGTTCCAGCGGCTGCAAGAGGAAAAACAAATGAAGGTCCATGGAAATCATTAAAGATGGAAACCGAGATAAAGTTAAGGAGAAGCAACCTTGACACTGAAGGGGGAGACCAGGCAGGTTACAGGCACGAGGGAGGCCGAGGGAGAGGGTGCGGTTGAGGAAGAGAGGGATAGGGACATTGGCGGTGAGGATGAGACAAGCGCAGTCCATTCCGCTGCCCATCAGAGCCTTAAAGGACTCGCAGCATCCGGCCGTGGGAGTGGAGGCTCCTCCGCTGCTTCCCGTAACGAAATTCAGGCAAGGAGTGAACGTCGTTATCATCGACGCCGTGCATGGCGTCCTGATCTGCTGCCCACTTGACATCGCCACCGCTATCGTTATTATTGCCACAGCTCTTACTATACTCTTCTTCTCCATTTCCTCTGCTTTTTTTTTTTTATGGGTTTGTACGTGTGCCTGTTTTTATAACCGGATGTTTCGTAGGATGGGTCTCTGGAGTTCAACAACTTTGATCCTGTCTGTAATGCCCTTTTTCTGTCTCTAAATCTCGTGTGTCGAATTAGGTGCGTTTGGTGTGCGGCTTTGTTCTGACTATGCTCCTTTTTAATTATTCCACCCAATCATACTTTAATATCGTACCACCATCAATTACATCAACTAAAAAAAAAAAAACTTGCTATGCAAAACGTTTTTACCAAACGCTGAGATTGAGATACAAAATTGTTTGCAAGATTTTATATACCAACGACTCGACACAACTACTCTGCCTGTCCCGGTATTACCTGCTTACTATCATTCACATCCTATTTCTCATGTAAACATTTTTATTATATATTATTTCTAGAAGCCGATTGTTTTTTTAGAAAATAACATTAAACAACAAAGTTGGTCATCAAACACTACCAATCTCCTTGATTGTATATGGACACCTCCTATAAACACACTCACCCTCTCCACCATCCAACAACCAAGAAACAAGTTTGAAGAACATTAATCCATTCGGAGTCCCTTTTTAGCAGGCTAATGATGGGTTCGAGAGGGTTTGGCTCCGTTCTAGCCATTGTGGTCATAGCCGGGGTCCTCAGCGGAGGAGTGAGGGGGCAGGGGAATGGGTGCACGACCAGCCTTGCGAGCCTGGCTCCGTGCCTGACTTATATAACCGGGAACTCGACGGCTCCGTCCCAAACCTGCTGCTCGCAGCTCGCAGGAGTGGTGAGATCGTACCCGCAGTGCCTCTGCTCAGTCGTCAACGGTCCTATCCCCAACATCGGCATCAACATCAACCAGACCCTCGCCCTCCAACTCCCCGGCGCCTGCAACGTTCAGACTCCTCCCCTCTCTCAATGCAACGGTATTTCTTTATTTACTCTTTCTCTATTATGTACTTACACGCAAGTATGCGTGAATATTCATATACTTACTTGATCGGGCCAACAGAGCTTGTCCAAGTTTATAGGTCAACTCTTTTATCATGTATATTATATGCAATATACGTTGGCGATATACTCGGCAATATTTATCATTTATATAATGTACATAAAATAAGTTAACAATAGCGAGGTGGAATTTTTCATGTCACGTGGATTAGCGGCCGCAAATGGACCAACGGCTTCAACTCCGCCGGCGGAGTCACCGGCTGAAGAAATGCCGGGCGCTGCAGCCGCCCCAACCTCGTCGCCGGAGGTTCCTTCAGGTAATTTTAAACATCAAATTCAAATTATTAATGATAAGAATAAAAGTCCACGTCCATTAATTTTTTCCAAAGCAAGTAAATATGTTTAATGGACGCAGGAAGCGGAGGAAGGTCGAAGACGGTTCCATCCACCGGAGCAGCTGGTGCTGGTTCCTCCGCCGGAAACGTGGCCGCAGTGCCACTGAATTTGCTTCTACTTGCTCTCTCTCTTGTCGTTCTTACCAAATTCTGATATTTCATCCTCTCGTTTTTTTTTCTATTAAATAAATAAATGGGTAAATGTCGCGAGGGATTGTTTTGTATTGTAATATTGTGCTACTTTTTACATGCCGGATTCGAAATCATGTATTACAGTCGTTCTTACCAAATTCTTATTGGATTCCATCTTCGTTTATTGGTCCATATTCCCGTTAAATTCGAGATCGAGACATTCTAAATCAAATCTCTAATTTGGATATAAACTAGGTTATGCCTTTTGTCATTCTGCAATCTCATAATCAAAACTATGAGGTTCCGAGTCACGTATGGTCTACATTCTAGGCAGATTCATGTGATCAGCATGTCTTATACATTGCATCTCTTGGTTTACCTGATGCGTTTTGTCGCCACGTGGAAGCTTCGTCGAATCATTGGTCGACAACTCACCATATATTATTATTATTATTATTGTGTTTGTGACTCGTATACAGTGGTCTTCTAAACAAATTAATATCCATCTTATTAATTTTTATATGTAAGAATTTAACTATTAGTCTAAAGAATTTACCAATAAAAACACCAAAAACCTAGACCCAACGCTTATACATATGTAAGCTTCTCCGAATATTCTATAAAAAAATTTTTTTTGATGATGATTCGAAAAAAAAACAAGAATTTCACCTTTAATTTAAAGCAAAAGAGTAATCAGTTCAAGTACAAACCAAACGAGGAAGCAAGCATTTGAAAGAAAGAAATGCACTTTCAGAACACTGAAACGCAATTCCACTGGCTTACCTCGTAGGTTTCAGAGTTTTTTTTTTTTTTTTTTTTTTTTTTTTTGGGTTTAAGGGATTAGGGTTTAGTTGCATGTGTGGGGAGGAGATTCATGTACCATTTTATTTCAGAGGTGACCAAAACAGGCCGAGACAATCATATTTGCTTTTCTCAAATCCGGAGAAGTGATAAATTCATATTTGCAAATTAAATGTTGGACAATATAAAGTTGATTGTGCCCCCATTTTTACTCTTTGATTGTATGCTAACTCATGCAATACCAATCTTAAAACAATATTTAGATACCTAGCGCCGAAAATACTAAAACAAACTTTTTTGCCTTGTAGTCCAATTGCCATTTATTGTTGCATATTGGTTCGCTATAGCTTCCTCTGTCGGCTTTTATTTATTTATTATTATATAAAACCTATAATTATTTGAATACAGACAAAAGCTGTGCATTGGTAAAGTGTACAGTAGTAGTATCGGCAGCTCAATTAGGAAAGCACCAATCACCTTCTAGCTAATAAAACGACAAGGAGTTTACATTTATGTAGCGGAAACGGCCCACAGTTCTCCTGCGCGCATTATATGTCCTGTCTTCGGCAAAATGGTCCACGAGTGGGCCTAAAAAGCCCAATATAATTACGTGAACAGAGAAACGCGATCATGATTAAGTGGGACCAACCGGGGAAAAGAGGCCGATGTAGGACCCACTAAAGCTTCTTGTCTTTATATGAAGGCCCCACATCTCTGACAATTTTAAAGAAAAACCCCTGAATTCCACAGAATAACAAAAGGACCCCCTATACATGTGTGTATATCTATGTACTACATATGTTTTGTTGACTAATAACAAAATAAGAAGATAGTTTAAAAAAACGTTTAGAATTGCTCTGATAATATTCAACCCAACCACCAGAGCAATCAGCTGGTAGGGTCCACATTCACGAGTGACCGTGAATTTATGATAAATAAATGTACGTCCAAATTCAATAGCTCGATGGTTTATGAAATCAAGGAGCAACAAGAAAAGTGGTTGCATCTAGCTAAGTATTTACGGACCCAATTGGTCAATCGGTAAAGTCCGACCGTGTAATTGTATCATGTTGACTAGTTATTAATTATTGTCCTTGATCTTATAAATATAGAGAAATCCGTGCATTGTGATTTGTAATATTAAACACAAGGGACCCATTAATCAATGCTCAATGGACAGTCACACGTGTCACTGATTAGATCTTAATTATTGGATTAAGTAGAGTAGGTACAATTGGGGACCCACTCCACTTCAATTGTATATGAGAAGGATATAGCAGATGGTGAAACGGCTCCTTTTCCAATTAGTATATATATATTTACACTTATCTCATTGGGGTGAATAATACTAGTAATTGGAGAAAGACAAATGCGGTAATGACGCCATGCTATGAATGATTAGCACAAGATGCCGAAAGTATTTTGTCTCAAGGAATTCCGAATAATTGACAAATAAATACAAACATATAAAGGAAAAACTTGTACGAAGTTGGACGGAATGAAACGCCATTAAATAATATCCAATGAAGTAATAAAAATATACTCCTTAAACGTATCGGATGCTGTTTTTTCCCGCAGTTAAAGCTGCAGCTATCCAAGAAGACATCATATATTTTATATATCACATTGGTTTCACCATCGGCAATTACACACCACTTTTTAAAAGTCCATTCCGGTACGCAGCCAGCCAGCCTCCTTACTTCCCTCTCTCGATCAATTTATTTGCAGCCATTACCAAACTCAGTCTCCAACTCTTATTGCCACCATGGAAGCCACCGAGCTCTGATCTCTTTCCATTATGCTTCTGCTGAGGTCTGCATCTAAAGTATCAGTTCCATACTCCAAATCCACAGCTCCCGCATGAACTCGTTTCCCGTGTTCATCTAACAACGTTTACCTATTTTTTTTTTATTTAAAAAATGGGGTTTTATGGTGCAGGCAAAGTGAATTTGGAGAATCTGTGATGCCAATTATGTTGAGGAACAGATCAAAAAGAGCAGTGGCAGCGAAACAGGCATCTGTAATGGCAGATCAACCACAGTCGCCCCAACCTCAGATCGGCCACTTCACGAAACCCGCACTTTCTCTCTCGTATCTCTTCAGCTCTCCAAAGTTCAAGCTTTTCACCTCAAAGATCTCACCTTTCGACACCGACTTCGCCCTCACTAGCCCTACTTCGATCCTCGACGCTAACCCTTCTATCTTTTCCACCAAAACCGACAAACCCAATTCGTATTTCGAACCCACGATCCCGAAACCCCAAAGATTTAAACCTCCAGAAGCCTTTGGCCTCGCTGATCTCGTGAAAACAGCGAATCCCCAAAGAGGAAACGTCGGTAACTCCGCTAAACCCGTCAACAAGATGGTCCTGTTTGGATCCAAGTTGAGAGTCCAGATCCCGTCAGCCGATTTTGGAACAAAGATCGGGGCTCCGAGATATCCGGCACGGGGACAGAGCGATTCTAGTGTCCAAGCGAGGGTGTTGACTGGGTGTAGCATCCCGGTGAGCGAGATGGAGCTGTCCGAGGACTATACGTGTGTGATATCGCACGGCCCAAACCCGACCACGAGACATATATTCGACAACTGTGTGTTTGTGGAGTCGAATTGCTCTGTTTCTTCTTCGCCGCCACTGGGACTGTATCCCAGCAACAGTTTCTTGAGCTTTTGCTACACCTGTAAGAAGATTCTCGACCAAAAACACAACATTTATATATACAGGTCCGTTGCAATTTCGAAAGTTTTTGGCTAAATGATTGGTGATTTATCGTCTCTTTAAAAGCCTGTGAATAAGATGATACGTAAGGGGCCTTCTTTTCTCAAGTGGTGATTAATGGTTAAGGCTGTCTTTCAGGGGAGAGAAGGCGTTTTGCAGCTGCGAATGCAGGTTCCAGGAGATGCTCATAGATCGGATGGAGAGCTAGATCCTTCATGAGAATCTTTTTTTTTTCCTTTTCTTTATGTGTTTTTGGTCGTTCCGTCCTCGCCTCTCGACTGCTGATGTAAAAAAGATAAAAGAGAGAGAGAGATGATTGAAGTTGAAAATGGCTGTGGAGCTGATAATAAGCATGTGTAGGTTAATATATGGCACGGGACATTGATTTTGATACGTCAGGCCTAACTTAGCACCTGTGCTGATGCCTTGAACCAATCAATCTATGCAGCAGGCAGACATACGAATTCATCTTTGTAGTGAATGGGCCATATCTATGGTTGGGCCAAATATGCAAGCCCAACATTTATATCTTGTGGGATTTATTCGGTGGTTACGAGGATAATTATTTAATCCATGCAGATAAATGCATAACACATTCAGATATTGCACTGGGGCTTGTCTTGATGTCAAATCTAATCTAATGTTTGTATTTTATGGAAAAATGAAAAGACACCTCCACCATGTGCTCCCTCTTTTCACTATTTGGACCGTCCATCGGCCCCTTCGTCACTAAATTCCATTATCAAAATCTCCATCAAATACCAACCAAACCTAAACACAACATCACCACCTCTATTTATCTAAATCTCATAGCTTTTGTTATTTTATTGTTTACAACGCGAATAACTTCCATATATTCTTAATTAAAAAAAATTTACGAAGGTACATACATTCCAATTGCCACCAAATATGCCTACACAAAAAAACGATAGTTACTTGAAACGAAAGAAGAATTAAAAAAAATAGTGGGAGAGAGTAATGTGGAGATGAAGCTTGCGGGAAAACTCGTCTATTAGCATTGTCACCGTTATTGGTTATGAAATAATTTTTAAAAATTTTAAAATAATGGCATCGATGATGATGCAGTGGGATACCAACGATATCTGATCTGATTCCTCTTTGCATGTGCATTTGCTCTTTGCTTATAGAGATTATATATATATGTAGCACCATATATGCCCATTCATATATATATACAATGTGGAACTCGAAGGTGGGGGAAAATTGGTTAACGTACGTTCCAATCTACGCCGTCTTTTTAGGAACCCAAACCAACAGCACCGCAACCATCTCTTCTCTCTCTGTTCGGTCGAAACAACACCCAATGATGAGAAACCTCGTCCCCTGCTTCGCCTTCATCAAACGGTCCACGTTTCCCGACTCCTCTCCCGTCGATCTCAGCCGTCCGTTCCGTTCGCGCCCTGTTTTCCAGAACTTCAACTCTCTCTTCATCGACCACAACACCTTCTCCGAGCCCGAACCCGATCCTGTTCCCGATTTCTCCGCCTTGATCGCCTCTCAGCGGTTTTTCTTCTCGTCCCCTGGCCGGTCAAACTCCATCGTCGAATCCTGTCCGTCCATTTCCACCGGATCCTCCTCGTTGGTGTCCCCCTCGCCGTCGGATCGCCTTTCGACGGCTATGGACGGAGGAGACGAGTCGTCGAGTGACAGCGTGGCCGTGCAGACCGACTCGCCTGACCCGTATGCCGACTTCCGGAGATCGATGGAGGAGATGGTGGAGGCGCGCGGTCTGCGCGACGCCAAAACTAACTGGGAAAAGCTGCATGAGCTCCTTCTCTGCTACTTGGCCCTGAATCCCAAATGCGCTCACGGCTTCATCGTCCGAGCCTTCTCCGATCTTCTCGTGTCCCTCATGTCGTCTTCGGAGAATAAATCGGAGGATGGTTGATGAACGGATTCTCATCCATGAGTCTCCTCGTCGATGTTATCTTTAATCACACTCCTAAGCAGTTGTATTGATTTTTGTAAATTCATGTCATTTTTTTTATCCATGGGCACCGGGTTATACATTCTCCGTTAATAAACGCAAGGTGCACATGATTTCAATTAGGCGTGGGTTATGGTTGGACCATTCCATCAAGGCATTAAAGTATAGTTTCTTGCATTTCATTTAGAAACGAAGACATTGCGTGTCTGAGTCGGGGCGATTAAAAGCTTGGGCCTTTTGAAATGATCCACACTCAATTCATAATTGCATGACTCATGAGCCACCTAATGGGACTTTATCATGGTTTTTTTTCTGTCCAAGGTGGTCAATTTGTTTGTTTACTTAAATTATGAGATTTGACTTTTAAGAAATATATCCAAATCCAACATTGATTTGCCGAAACCAAGATAATGATGTTTTGGAAATTGAAAAGATGAGATGGAGTCCGGATAGCTCCAAGAATCCACCCACGCCCAGCCCCACCTTCAATCAGCCAGTCAGGTAGGGGAGTGATGATGAGATAGACGAGGTGATGGGACAGACCAACTTTTGAGGACGTGAAAAGGAGATGACATGCTATATCAACCTCCGCTTTATGTAATCACACACGCATATATATATATATATATATATATATATATATATATTGTATACACTGCATTGCATTGCATGCATGACGCTTGTCTTTTCTCCCCACTTCGCCTGCTTCTCCTTCGTGTCCCTTTGTTCTTTATCTTCTCATGTTGAGTTATGGAACGTTACTTCAACTGCGAATTAATTAATGGGTGCAATCTATGACGCTTAGGACTCTCTATATATGTATATATCTTACTTGGAAGTTATGAATGTTGGAGGAGTATCCGATCCCCGTAATTTACGGATATAAGAAAGCGGTATAATACAGTGGGAGGGAATGCGTATACGTACATCAAATATACTTCATATGAAATAAAAGAGGCTAGATTTATAAAAAATATATATATAAACAAAATAAAAGAGACTAGATCAGTGGATATTAACAAGCAATGAAGTATCCCCCAGTTGTCTTGATACTCTCTCCAAGCTGTGCATGTGGCCATTTGCACATATATCATACGTGTGCGTGTTTTATATATTATTTGCACTGGCCTGGCATGAACTATATATGTGAATCTTTTAACATATATACAGTGTGTGTATGTCGGGAAGATTCGAGTGCTTGCTGCTTCATGCTCATAACTAATTAGGCTGATCCATGCTTTTGTTTAAGCAAAGGGAAAAGAAAGGTGGTATAGTGAACTGCCTTTTAGCTCTAATTAAAACTATCTCCACGGAACAGGGACAATTTTGTTTTTATTTTTTTTCAAGTTTCCATTAACAAATTGGTCTATGCACGATAATCGGTCTAAAAAAATACACTTAGTAATCATAATTATACTAATTAAGAATGGCACGTTTAATATAATCGACGTTGTTCATCATGTTTTCTCTAGAACCCCCGGAGTGTTGTACTAAGGGTTCGACTCGTTGTACCGCAGCGGTTGCGGTTGCGGGTGGCGGCGTTTTCAAAACGTTTGATAGCGATTATGAACGATTAATACTGAATGGTTGATAAGTTGTTGTTGGCAACGATTGCAGGTGAATGCGGTTGGAAGTGAATGGTTCGTTGCGGTTGCGATTGCATTTGATATAAAATTATGAAAAAGAATATTATTTTAAATTTTTTTATAATAGTTTAATTAAAATTTTAATATCATTTGATAAAAATTATTTACTTATAAATTTAAAATATAAATATTACCAATTTAATTTATTTTTAAGTAAAAAAATAATTTTATTATAAAAATTATTAAAAATAATCATTATTAAACTTAAAAATTATACTATTGTATTTTTTTATTAAAAAATAATACTAGAAAATAA